CACTGTCACACACGCTCCAACCCCAGCTGTCTTAGCCGTGGGTCAAGGCTGAGACAGCTGGGGTTGGAGCATGTGTGACAGTGAGTGATGTGCACTCCTAACTGGCCACCATCTGTACAGCCTTGGGTACACTAAGAAGCACAGTGTGCTAAAACTGAAAGAGCAGCATTTCCCAAAATGTGCTGTCCACCCACCTCAGAATTACATAGGAGCAGCTAAGAGAGTGCAGAAGGTGTTTCAGTTAACATATGATTTGGGTGGGATGGACTTGGATGACTTGGATGAGTTGGATTGGGAAGTCCAGCTTTCATCAGTGCACAATTATCTGTTAATCATAATGTGTGTTTTCTCTTTCTTTATGTTTTAAAGATGTGCGGTTTTCAACTCCTCACAGCGGTACAGGTGGACCCCAGCATCCATATTACCCACCTAGTTTTTCCTCTTTTGGCTTTAACTCCTTCCAAGGCAGCTCTTCAAATCCTGGTTTTTCCTCTGCCACTGGCTTCTCCTTTGGCTCTAGCTCTTCAAATTCTGCTTTTTCCTCTGCCACTGGCTTCTCCTTTGGCTGTAGCTCTTCAAATCCTGGTTTTTCCTCTGCCAGTGGCTTCTCGTTTGGCTCTAGCTCTTCAAATCCTTTTTCTCCATCTACCACTGGCCTATTTGGCTCTAGCTCTTCAAATCCTGCTTCTTCCTCTACCACTGGCATATTTGGCTCTAGCTCTTCGAATACTAGCTTTGGTGGGTTTTCTCAGAAATTCTGAAAAATTTGTAAAACCTGTGGGTTGAGATAAGAGCAGTTTGATAACTGAAACAAAGCAAAATATAATAATAAAGATACTACTACTAATGATAACGGTAATAGAAAGGAGCAAAGAGAGTGAGAAAAGCCAACTAAAACAAGTGATGCACAATAAAATTGCTCCCCACCTGCCCGTTCTATGATGTGCAAACATTGTTCCTGAGCAGTGATTGGCCCTTTCTGCCTACCTCCTGCTGTTTATATACTGTGCATGGTGTTCTGTGGTGTGGGATATCCCTTTGGCCAGTTTGAGTCACCTGCCCCAGCTATGCTCCTCCCCAGCTTTCTTGTGCAGCTCCTCACTAGCAGAGCATGAGGCACTGAAAGGTCTTGACTTAGGACCCTTGCACTGCTTGGCAACAGCCAAACCATCCATCAGTGGGTTATCAATATTATTCTCCTACTGAATCAACTGTACCAGCTACTGAGAAGAGAATGAATTCTATCCCAGCCAAAACCAGGACAGGACTCAAATCTGTGTAGTGCTGTCCCAGACATGTAGAGTGTCCAGAATTTCTGGGAGGTGAACACCAACAATGAGAGCTGCTGGAAGCTTGGAGTCATTTGTGCCCTGTCTGAGTGCTGCCTGCAAGTGCCTCACGATTACCTCTGCATGTTCC